TGGACCAGCTGATCTGTGGTTTCCATGTCCCGATAGACAAACCATTTCTTCCCAAATTCACCTCAAGTGCCCTTCATAAAACCCATCCGGGGACCCATCGGACCCCAAGGCTGGTTCTTTGGTTCTTATATCTTTGCTACCATCTGGTAGGTGTAGGGACCCCAGAGGGCCAGACCCTCCCCACCCCCTGGTGTGGTGTCCCCTCTGAGTGGCTGGAAGCCAGCAACGCAGGACGCATCACAGACCGTCCGTGTGGAGAAAAGAAGGCTCTGGGTCCTGGCCGTCAGGAGCAGTAACCAGGGCCCTTGGCAGTCGGGACCCCCAGGAAGTCAGCAACAGGATGGGCAGGAACCCAGTGTCCCCACTCCCAGCGCTGGCCATGTCAGCCCAGCCCTCTGGCAGGATCACTTGGCAAGGCCAGGGGCACATCAAGCAGGAACAGGACCTGAATGATTTCCAGGGCCGTCTTCTCCAGATGCCGGGCCCGCCCTGTTGTGTCTGGAACCCAGGACCCGCCAAGAACATTTTCCTTTATGAAGGTGCCAGGAAAGGGGCGACTTTCTACCCTGTGGACAGTTCTAGACCTCACCCAGTGTCCTGTGGCCAGAGGCATCCGTTCCTGCATGCACGGCCTCCCCCTGAAGCAGGAAGGACGCAGCCAATGTAGGTTCCTCGGGAGAGGGGGAGGGGTCCTGAGCCCCACCCCCAGGTGGCAGCAAGGAGGTCCTGACTTGGGCCGCACCCAAGAGAGAGGCAGGACTGAGAGCAGACCTGGGTACCTGAGCAAACAGCCCTCCACCACCACAGCCCCTGCCTGCGAAGGACAGGACAGGCTTGTCCTCTGATCTGAAAACAAGACAGGTGTCATCACCTTGGGGAATCCCACCAAGCCAGCCACGAGCCCCTCATGGCTTCTGTGGTCCCCCATGGATGGAAAACACCAGCTCCTCCTCAGGACCCCCTGCACATGCAGCATTTGTCTATGGGGTTTAAGTGCTGTCCGAATGGTTTTTATTTCCCCTCATTAGGCTTAAGGCACGAGAACCAAGTGGTCAGGAATCTGGGGTCCTCTGTCCTGGCCCTCGATGGACCACTGTATTTCCTAGACAAGTTACTTAACTGCTCTGGGCCTTCGTTGAGACGTCTGTACAATGAAAATAAGGACAGTACCTTCGTCATAGGATTGTTGAGATTGTTAAATTAGTAACTACATACAAAATATGTCAATTTTAAAATTTCCTAGAGCAGAGTGTGTTCTCACTCCGTACTTAAGGAGAAGCAGGGAGAGTATGGGATTGGTCACATGGGGAACTGGAACCAGTCTCCTCTCCTCCTTTGAGTGCCGGTCCCCACCTGCTGATAACATGCAGGCAGCTGGAGCAACCCATTCCTGACTCCCTCCTGACTTGGAGCCTGGTGAGGACCAGCCTGAGGGCCAAGGGAGGAAGCCCCAGCGGGGAAGAGCTCCGGTCGCAGCACCCAGCCTCTGTCCTGCCCTGCCCGCTGTGACTTCGACTCCGCCAGCCTCCCTGCACACCCCCTCCTCAATGAGCTCCCTCCAGGCTGAAGGGTCTCTGATCTCAGGAAAGCTGACCTAATGGGTGTCCCCATTTGGTTAGGCAGCCACATGTGAGGTCATTACCAGGACACTGGGACCCTGCAAAAGCTTTTATGAATCAAATTGCTAAAACGTGATGTTTTGCAAAGGAGAGTCTTATATTGGATCAAGCGCACCAGCAGGGGACCGTGCGGGCCAGCGCCCATGGTTGTCAGTCTTTATCTGCAAGGCTGTCCAGACCGCACCCGCTGCTCAGAGCCCTGCCTTCGACAGAGCAGGAGGGAAGAGGACACGCGTCCATGTCCTCTCGGGCCTTCTGCGCTCTTGCCTGTGCTGCTTCCTCTGTCTGGAGCCCCGTCCTCCCAGCCGTCCTCCCCAGAGACCCAGCTGGCGCCTGCCAAGTTGCGGGCTGCTTTCTTGGTCCTTGGGGAGGCCGTCCCCGACTCTTCCCCTATGGGGCTGCTTTGGAATGGCCTGTCCACTCCTCTGCCTCTCCTGGGGGATGGGGAGCCCCACAGGCACAAGGGCCAGGCCTCGCCTCTCCGTGCCCCCACGATTTAGAACAGCGTCTGGCCCAGAGCACATACTCAGTGTGTGGAGGTCTGAGGAGGCCAGCAGAAGCCCCTTCTGTGTGACCTTTCCCAACACGGCTTTGGTTCTCGACCGCTGCCAGTTCTGAGGCGCTCCTGGGGAGCTGGGAGGACTTTCAGAGCACTCGTGGGGAAGAGGACCCTGACTTACCCTAGGGAGGGGGTCACGCAAATAATAGGTCACACTAATCCAGCCACTGTGGCAGGCACGGTGCCATGTCCTCCCCCCACCCCCCTACCGCCAGGCACGTTAAGGAGTCGGTTTCTGCTATCTTTGTTTTACAAATGAGAAAACCACCAACCCATCCTGTGGGCTTTTCCAGGCGGATACAGGCCAAGTTGTTTCCTGTCCTACAGAAGCTCATGGCAGCCAGCTGGGACCCCCAGATGACTGAGCCACGCTGTCCCTTCTCCCCCACCCCCACACGCCACACAGTCCAGCAGGGGTGGCAGAGGGGGCCCTGAGCGGGGGGGGGGGGGGGGGGGGGGAATGCCCCTCAGGCAGAGTCAGGAGAAGGTGTCACTTAGAGTCGTGGGTCCCACAGGAGGGGCCGTGGCACTGTCCCCCACCCCAGGGCACCCTGAGTCTCATCTTCGTGCATCCAGCACTCCAACAGGCACCACCAGCCCCCTTCCCCGGCTTAGCCTGTCCGGCCCCCACCACCAGCCTGGGGAAGTTCCAGCAGCGGGGTGCAGGCCACGTGCTTCCAAGCCAAGCCCTCTCCCTCTCCCGTCTTTGTTCTCCCTCCCAGAGACTTGCTCTGTAATCAGTCAGCAACGCTGCCCGCTGGAGCTAGAGGCCAAGAAAGTCTTGGAGAAAGCAGTCGGCCTTCCCCACTGCCCTCCTCCTCTCCACTCCCTCCCACCCCACTCTCGGTAAAGCTCAACAGGACAGACATAGGACAGACAGTGGCTGGGCTCTGTCCCCTAGCATGGAAGGTCGGCGCCCCCCTATACTGCTGTGACCAGGCAAAGCGAGCCACCACACATCAGCGACGGGGCCCACGGCTGGATGGCCTTTCCCAGCGTCACTTCTAAATTCCATTCCCTGGTGTACTGCCCCGCAGCCCCCACTCCCAGCTCTCTGGAGGGTGGGCCCATGTCACCCCAGGGAAGCCGCAGACGCAAACCAGGGAGCTCCAGCTCCCTCCCCCCAAACCACACCACACTGCTGAAACTCAAAAGAGGGACCATCCCGAAAGGAAGGGAAGGCCACGCCAACCGGGTACGTGATGAACAGGTCTCCTTCATCACATACGCTTGAAGTCAGGACCTCCTGGATAGAGACGATGTGCACCCCTCCAGCCTGACCAGTCCCCGTGTCCCTTCAGAGTCAGACACGGCCAGGCTTCAGGGGAACCTTCTCACACCCCGGGCAGAAGAGCACAGTGGAAAGGAGCAGGCCGAGCTCGCCTATGCCTTCTCTCTGGGCCTGCCCCAGTTACCCCATCTGTAAAATACACAGGAGCCCCTGGGGCCCTTTGTAGTTCCAACAAGAGTTTTGCGTGGCCTCCAATCAGAGCCACCCCCACCCCAGGGTTTTCAGTCCAACCACCAGTCACCTTCCCATGAATGCCCTTCGACCCTCTGCCTCCCAGCTCCTGCCCAAGCACCATCCTTCCACCAAGTCTCCAGTGAGGCCCGGGGGGACCAGGATGGCTCTCGCCGCCAAACCCCTGGGCCCTTGTGCCTCCCATGCCATCTCCCCCACAAGGTGCCCCCAGCAGGCGCCCAGGACAGAGCCGGAGCTCCGGGATCTGCTGCAGCCATCGAGCAAGCCCAGAAGCACCCGCAGAGCTCTGCCCTCTGCCCCCAACCTCTCCCGGCGACCTTCTGACCAGGGAGGAGGGTGGTCACCTGAGAGTTGAAAAGAAACTAAGCTAAACCAGAGATAAAGCATCTAGGATTCTGAGGGTGGTCAGCGGCTCTTCTGGGCCTGGCCCCATAAGAACAAAGCCTCAGGCCGGCAGGCCTGACTAATGACTGATGAGTCATGGGTCAGCGGAGAGGTCAGAGGCCACCGCTGCTGCTCTAATCTGCAGGGCCTCAGGGTTCTCCTGCCCCATCTCCCGCCCCCAACCCAGGAGTTAGGCCTTGAGAATTAAGGGAGAAAGAAGCGCCATCCCGCTGCCGTCAGTCTTAGGCCAAGCACTGCCAGAGGAGACTCATCCCCCCTGCCACTGGGTGGGTGGGCTTGGAAGGGGCCTGTCCCCAGCCCCAGCTGGGTGTGCAGCCTGGCTGAGCCTCTGCCTTGGGGCCCTCTACGTCCGGGGAGGGCAGACAGAGGTTTCCCCATACAGGGCTATTTCCCTAAAAATCTGTCTCCAGACTGCTCCCTTCTTTTCTGATTTTTCCAGTCCACATCCCCGGAAACCCGTGAGTGGCAAAACACTGTCCCCAGTCTCAGTCTTCTCACCAACAAGCTGGGTACAACAGCCCCTACCAAGGGGCGGAGGTGGGGGCAGCGGGAAGAGCCGGGCGCTCCGGACAGAGCGGGGCACCCGGGGTTCAGTCAACCCTCAGCCAGGCCTTCCCCGCTCGCCTCGCAGCCTTGGCCCCAGGGGGAGCGTGGGTGGGCACTAGGGTGGGCCTCACGAGGCCGGGTTGGGGGGGGGGGGGTCAGGGAGGAGGAAATCTCTTCTTTCACACAAGTGCCCAGGTCATCGAGGCGGTCAGGACCAGAGCCAGGAGCGGGGTGAGTGGAGGGCACGGCCCGCGCACACGACCCCGGAACCGCGGCGGGGGCGCCGCGCCCAGACGACCGCTACGACTACGGCTCCAGGCCTCCCGAGGCGTGCGGGGCTGGGAGGGGAGCCACCAGAGCGGGGGCCGTGGACGTGGGGCGCCCCTACCTCGGGCCGCCAGCAGCGCGAGGCCGCCGAGCAGCAGCAGCGGCAGCGGGACCCTCCTCGGCGCGGCGCTCTCCATGGGGCCGGCGGGCGGCGGGCGGCGGGCGGACAAAGGCGCCGGGCGCGGGGCGCGGCTCCTGGGCTCCACGCTCCGGCCGAGCCTCGCAGCCAACGCAGGGCCCGGGCTGCGCCGTTCAATTATCCCGCCCCGGAGGAGGGCGCGGCGGGGGCGGGGCCGGGGGCGCGCGTGCCCTCCCTCCCGGGTCGGGCCGCCCCTTCCCCGGCTGGGGCCCGGACACCCCGGCGCCGAGGAGCGCACGGGCCTGCGGCCGGGGGGCGGGAGCGGGGACCCCCAAACCTCTCCCGGGGCGGGCCGAGAAGGTGGGCGCGTACGGACGGGGGGCACCCCTCCCCGCCCCCCCCCAGGCGCGCGTGAAACCCGATCCCTTTCCCCACCGCGGCCGGAAGGCGGGCGGCGTCTCCAAGGTTCTCTCCGCCCGACCCCGCGGCCAAGGCGGGGGGCGGGGATCAAGGTAGCGAGGAGGTCCCCACCGGTCCGAAGCGCTTTCTCTGGGGGGAGACAGGGAGGTGTCCCTTCGAGGCGGTGGGGGGGACTCCCTGCAGGACGTGGCCTGCGGGCAAAGCCCCGCACCGTCAGATCGCTTCCCGCCTTCCGCCGTCCCGCACACACGCATCCTCCCGGGCCTGCAAGTCCGTGGCCGTCCCAGCTGGGTCCCGGCACCTGGCGCGGGCCTCAGCGCACTACCAGTCCAGGGGGGCCGACCTCGAACCAACATCCCAGCTACAGGGGAATGTGCTGAACCCGGGACCCCGATGCGCAGAGGAAGAGATTTTGTTTTGCCGAGAAAAAGCGGCCTTAGAGGTGGGCCTACAGAAATTACCTCTTTGTGCGGGAATAAATGGCTGAACCAGGCAGTTGTTCCTGAAGGTGAATTAGTCTGTTGGAACCATAAATACATTTGTTTTAAAGAAGAAAAAAGGAAAAAAAAAAAAAAAAAAAAAAAAACGAGGGCCGTCCGTGAAGGTAGGAAGGAAGAGAGGAAACCCACAGGAACCCCATTCAGGGTGGCCCCCCCCCCCATGGGCCCTTCCCCTCCCAGGTTCACAGCCAGCAGGTGTCAGGCATTAGGGTGTTGGTAGCAGCACTATTCAGAACAATTAGAAACTGCCAGGCATCCCCAGCAACAGAATGGAAACATGGTGGGGCACCCCCAGCACCCCGGGTGCTGCAGGGTTCCCTCGATGGGAAGGACAACAGTTTAGTGGTCAGGAGAACCATGGTCCTTGGGGAGCACCAGGGAGCTTTCTGGGGAGCTGCTTGGGATCTAAAGCTTGGTTTTCTAAAGCTGGGTATTGGTTATAAGGCTGGGTTCCCTTTGTGAAAACGTGTCCCGCTGTTCATTACTATGTGTCCTCTTCTAAATGAAAGTTGGATTCAGGGCACCTGAGTGGCTCAGTCGTTAAGCGTCTGCCTTAAGCTCAGGTTATAATCCCAGGGTCCTGGGATCCAGCCCGGGATCGGGCTCCCTGCTCTGCGTGAAGCCTGCTTGTATTCCCTCTCGCACTGTCTCTCCCTCTGTCAAATAAATAAATAAAATCTTTAAAAAAAAAAAAAAGTTCTATTCAAAAATAAAAAACAAAAAGACAAAGAACTCCTGTCTTCGTAGGATGCTTCCTAAGGTGGAGGTTTGTGGAGAGTCTAGGAATGATCATAAAAGGGGTCACTTGTTAATTCCTCGGCTAAAGATGCCTCCCAAAAGAGGCAACTTAGGGTTGGCCCTTGGCAGATGAGCAGAGGGTACAAAGGGTTCCCTGCCCAGGGCAGCGGGGGAAGGTTATCTGGTCCACTTCGCTGGGGTGTGGGCTGTCTGCGAGAGGCTGAGAGCTGCCGGCCCTTGGATGGGGGTGGGTGGGGAGCTCTGAGCTGGGGACGGATTGAAGACTGGTGCTTAGGTATGGTTTTTGCTTTCTCTAAGCCATGGGAGGAAAGAGGGGCCTTGGAGAGAGTTTATAGTTCAGAGTAAATGCAGTATGTGCAGTGGGTATTATGGGCCAGAGCGTTATTTTGTGGCTACAATAGCCATGGAAGGTCTTAGTGCTCCCATTCTGCAGATGAAGACACTGAGGCCCCGAGAGGCTGGCCAAATGCTCACAAACTAGGCGACTGGCTGTGCTGGGATTTGAAAGCAGGCCGGCCGGGTCCCAGGCCTGGGCTCCTCTGGGAGTGACCCGTATGAACGCTATACACGTGGTTTCACCGCTGCCCCAGGACTGGACATCTAGGGCGTTTAAGTTGGGCAGCGGGGGTGGGGGAGTGTTTAAGCAATCGTGCTGCCGTGAAACCTGCATGTTCTAGGCTCAGCGTCTAGGGCAGAAGGGGAGGCCTTAGGAGAGCCGCTCTGCACCCAGGAATGGACTGATACGCTCAGGTCTCCGCCGAGGGGCACGGCCCAGCCCGGAGTCTGTCCACCCGCGCGCCTGCACGGAGTAACATCTTCGTTTCATTTGCTCCACAGGCGGAAGCAACAGGCGTGTCGCTGTTTCGGTGTATCATCCGTCATCTTCAGATGTCTCACCACGGAGCTTGAAGGCATTTCCGGGGCTTCCTAGCCATTTGTGTTTCTTTTCTTTGTGACTCCTTTTATAACGTTTGCTCGTTAATTTTGGTAATAGCAAAGCTGCTTATTGTAGCGAGCGACTGAGAAAAGACGTGGCGTCCAACAGCAGCCTGTCTATGGTGCATCGGGTTAGAGTCAACTCTGCCCGTATGCCGTGCTCCAGGGAATAGTGCACGTTGCAGAAAAGGCTGAACAGGAGGCCGAGGTAGAAATAGGATCTCTGCGAACTAATATTATGCAAAAGTAACAAAAAAAATTGAATATGACTGCGTAGGTCCACCCTGCAATTACAGCCCTAGGAAAACTATATTCACGTGGCTAAAGAGCAAAAGGGAACTTGAAAGAATGGGATATTGTGTTTACTAGTGAAAATTTGTTATTCAAATGTAAAAAAAAAAAAATTTTTTTTTTTTTTTTAGGAAGCAGTTGCGACTGGAAAGGAGGAATTGTACCAGAAACCTGGAATGGTCTAATCCCTATACCTAAACTTGACTGAGTTTCTGGGCAACAAAGTAAAAAATCAGATTATGATCACTGTTTTCTAACCAGAGAGCGTGCAATCTTTCATCAGGAGAGACCAGCTTCTTCCAGCACAGATTTCTAACCGTTTTCCCTCTGGGTCCTTATGTAAGAGTCAAGAAACTTGAGGAGAAGCAAACTGCATGTCCCGTGTCATTTGCAGAAGATGGGACTGGTCTTCCCAGAGGCTCCCCGGGGGCGATTAGGGACCACGGAGCCCCCCCCACCATCTGACCCCTGGGTCTAGGGCAAGACGACATCCCCCCCCGCCCCCCTCCCCGTTCTGCTCCAAGCAGGAAGCCATCTGTCATGTCCCGCTGTGACAGTCCAGCTTTCTCCCATCTCAGAGGAGCCTGGCAACTCACTGCTCCCCACCCCCCGTAACAAATAGCTCTCCGTTTGTCTCAAAGATCATTGTTGGCACACGTGGACTGTTTTTCTCCAAGTCAGAAAACAAATGGCTTTGGCGCTGCCCAAACTCTGGAGGACAAGCCTCTTGTGGTTCTTGTATGTGCTCCCCACCCCGAAGGCAGTGGCTGCCTCCCCCGACCCTCCCACCCAGGCCCAACCCAGCCCTGCGTCCCTGGCTCACGGCCCCCAGAACACCCAAGCACCTCCTCCCCTCCTGCCTCTTTGCTCCCCTGGCTCCTTTTGCCTTTTGGGCGTCTGCTAAGATGCCACTTAGCAGAGGGCTTTTGCTGCCCCTGTGCCCGGGGCCCTGTCCTACACCATTCCATCCCCTTTATGACAATGTTCCTCTTTATACTCCTTTACTTCTTTGTTCAAGTGTTGGTTTTCTCTCTGGCTCTGGACCTGTGAGCTCCCTGAGGGCAGGGACTGGGTCCGTACATCTTCCGTGGGCAAGAATCCTAGCCTCTGGCTGGGCCTCGTGGGAAGAAAAGCAGGGTTCTTCATCAGAGACACCCAGCATTACAACGTCCACTGGGCTGGACATTGTCATTCTGTACAATGGCCGAGGAGACTGAGCCAGGAAGGGGGCAGAATCCCTGACGCCCGTGTAGCCGTGTGGCTCAGCCCGGGGCAGCAATCCCACCACCTCCCCTCCCGGTTCCCGTTCCCAGCCCCTCTGGGTCCCTTCTCCGGGCTATCCCAGGGTCTTTTCCTTACTAGGAAGGTCCTAGGGACCATGGCATGACTAGAATGACAAGTGAGAAGGGGTCCTGTCCCCTCCAGGTGGCTGCAGAAAAGTAGAGATTCCAAATTACGCCCAACATCCATAAAAGACACACAATTATACACAGAATAGGGAAGGCCACTGGGCTCCCTGGATCCCCCAGCAGATGTCTCGCTCTCAAACTCCCACAGAGCAGGGCACCGAATCAAGGCCCACACTGGGAGCCTCCGCGTCTAGTGACACCTCTGTCATCAGGGAAGGTCACGACCAGGGAAGCTCCTGACCAGGGGCTTCTAATACTTCTGTCTCCCCCATGACACCTAAAGACGTAGAATTTCCACACGCCCAGCGTCCTAGCATGCCTCGGGCCCCTTCGATGGCATTTCACTCACATGGCCGGCCGTGAGTGAGTCACTGTGTGACCTCTGTTGTGCATCGAGCCAGGTAGGATCGTGAAAGAAGCTGCCGGCTTCACATGGACCATTGCAGACACAAGAGGACGGCCATCCACGAGCCAAAGACAGAGGCCTCAGGAGAAGCCAACCCTGCTGACGTCTTGATCCCAGGTTCCCAGACTCTGGAACTGTGAGAGAATGTAGTTCTGTAGTTCAGACTCCTGTGGAAGGAAGGAAGGAGGGGGAGCATGCAGCATTCCAGAGCATTCTAGAACCTCAGCTGTTGTGATGTTCTAGGATCAGAACTATCAGGGCAAATTCAAATAAAACCGCCATCGTTCATTCTTGTGTTACGGGTAAGTCTTTGAAGGACGTCGCTCTGTGAAGACCCAAGCTCCAGCTCCATCCAAGCAGAAGCCCAGAAAACAGAAAAACCGAAGAGATTCTGTCT